AAAAAAAAAAAAAAAAAAAAAAAAAGGTAAAAAGAGAAAGGGAGAAGACAAGGGTCGCAATTGTCTTCATCATGACAGTCATTTTCGAGGCATTCAACGTTATGATATTCGTTTATACACATTCGACATCACGGTGCTCGACCTTTATTGGTCATAATGTCATATCATTGTCATAAATATAAAAACATGAAGAGACAAAACGAACAAAGCAGACAATGTGACGAGTGAGAAAACGGAAGAAATGCTAGCGTACCTAATTCTTATCCGTTTTAATCGAGAGCAGAGTTGAATCCGGGTCTTTATGGCCGAACGAATCTAATAATGAGGTGAGAATAAGGGTAAAAGGAGTAAAAGGGAGGTGGAAGAGGAAGGAAGATTGAGGAGAAGAGGGTGAACGAGGTTCAGAATGAGAGGTTTAACGAGGAGGAGGGAATGTTAGGTTACATTGCACAATCGTGTTCGCTATTTTTTCATGATCGTGTTTGTCACCCTTCACGATCGTCATTGAACCTCCTCGAAGCCTCGGTCAAGTTGCTTTGCGAAAGCGATATTTTGTTTTGCGTTTATAGCCATTATTGTGGTTATCATACGTCGACACGGCACAATTGTTTTGCTTGACTTCCTCGTGGTTGAGCTTATACTCATTGAACCCACGAATGTTGTGCTCAACGTTGTAACCATTCTCTAGGTTGGTGGCGGACGATCCTTACTATGCTTATGGTCGTTTGCCTCATTAATCATGACCTTTATTGAAGATTCCTGATCGCACTCATTTCGACCACGAATGACGCTTATTCTTCATAGTCAGGTTCGTACTCGTAGTAGTGCTAGTTCCTTTACTTAGTTGTGACAATTTTCATTGCTCACATGGTTCGTGATCGTTTTCTTCAACCTCAAAGGAGGCGTTTTCGTCGAGTAGAAAATCGTTTGCTTCAATTCCGTTAGTTTTCGGTAATATTTTTTATAGTTGTCCTTTGCACCACCCGTAGTTGCTTCCTTTGGAGAGTGTAAGAGTGGTCATGGTCGCTTCTTTCGCAATCACCACCATATTGCCACTCGTTCTTGTTTTTTTACTCCTCCGGACATTTGGTTTCAATTTTTGTGTGTTTGACCTATTTATGGTGTCATAGAATTAGCTATATTTTATGTTTTAATCTTCCTCCCCATTCAGAAATAAATGTACAACTATATGTTGTATTTGCTTGTGCATCAAGTTCTGATCGATAGTAGAGTCCTTGACTACGTAAAATTTGATTAACTATAACTCTACAAACTCCATTAATAATAAAATTCCCTCTGGCTGTCATTTTTGGAATGTTGCCGATTAGTATTAGTTCACCTGACAAATTTATCAAGACAAAATAGTTGACATCGTCGTGGTTTCTAGAGAAAACACACTAACTGTCTGCACACAACAAATTTAAGATATAGGGACACTTAAGGATCCTATTTTTGCAATTGGTTGGAATTTGATATCGCCCGAAAGTGTAAACATTGGTGGCAACGGAGTGACCATAGTAGTCATTGATGCCAGGCATCACAAAGAATCCTATAAAAAACACAAATTTGATTGAATATTCACACAACGTCAACTAAAAGAAAAGAAAACGCTATTGCAAGAGCAACTTACCAACATAGCAGAGTGAGTCTAAGTCGATTTGAACTACCGACTTTACACTTATCAACTTTATACCCTAACCAACAAAGTTATAGGCTTCGAAAAAGTTGAACTCTCAACCCCCAAATAAGTAGTTTGGTGCTCTATCTAATTGAGCTACAAACACATTCATTCGTCTTTTTCGTCTATGTGTATGGGACATCGTTTTTTCATGGCGAAGTTACGTGTTCAAATCCCGTAAGGGTTATATATGATATGATATTTATCATATCAAAGGGCCAATTCTGGCGGGTCACTCAAAGGAATTGACGGAGGCCTTCACAAACGGTAAAGCATGTGGTTTAATTCGATACAATGCGCAAAACCTTACCAGCCCTTGACATATGAAAGAAACACCTCGCGCTCGTTACCTTTGAGTTTCAGCCTTGCGACCGTACTCCTCATCGAAGTCTTTCAGAGGTACCTTTTGACATTGATTCACTTCTGATTCAATATATTATCAATAGCTACAACACTCTTACCTGTTTGTCTATATCCAATAATAAGTGTTGGTTGATCACGACCTATTGGAACAAGGTTATCCATCACTTTTAATTTTGTTTGCTTTGGTTCATGCACATATTTACGTACAATAATTCCCGAGTTTTGACTTCTATAAGTCTTTGCTCTAGCACATTTTTCATTAAGAGGTACTTCTAACGTATCAATAACACGACCCAACATGAATCTTCCTACAATAACAACTACAATAGATCCAGTACGTTTGACAATATCTCATTCTCTAATGGGAGTATCACTACCTAAAACCCTTATTCCTATACTTTTATTTTCTAGTTTTTCTGTTATTCCTTTATCTTATATTTTAATTAAATTTATCTGTTACTATGTACAAGTTTATAACGAAAAATGTTTTGTTGGTTTACAAATTACTGAAAACATGGTTGGTCATAAATTTACAAAATTTGTTTTTACACATAAAACTTTGCCTGTCTCTTATACACATCTAGATGTGTATAAGAGACAGCACACACACACACACACACACAAAAAAAAAAAAAAAAAAAAAAACACAACACACATACACGTACACCTGCACCCTGACCCTCTCCCGTCGATTATGCACGTGCGCGCGCAAGACGCCGAGCGAATACAGAGAGAGACAGGAAGAGTTAAACGAATGGTGCACGCCCTCCACGTCGGCCCTGCTTATCGTATGCGATATTGAACTTTTCGACTAACTCGTTGTTGGTGCTCGTCCCCTTGGTGATGCTTGCAAGGTAACCCATTAGCAATATGTCGTTATATTCCGTCAGGAAGTCGTCTTGGAACCTCGGCGACTCAATTGCCGGCAAACGCCTTATCAGACTCGCGATCTGTCTCAGAAGGGAGTGCTCGAACGGTACCTCCCCCTTCGCCGTCGTCAACAACAAATGATGTAGCACCTTTAATCGGCTATTGAGCATTTTGATGGCACTGTGTACTCCCGTTAGATGAGCCGCCAGCTGGGTTGCCGCCGAAGTCCCACCAGCCGGCGTGATGTGTGCCACGTGGTCGACGGAGATTCGCTCTGCTTCCACCGTCTCGATCATGTACTCAGATCTGACGAAAATCAAAGACGGCACGCCATCGATAACGTGTAACTCGCTCTCGTAAATCGTGATGGGGAAATCCTTCTGCGCATGATTAATCGTCGGATTGAGCATCATATACACAGGGCTTTCGTTGATGTCCATCAAAGCCTTGTGTATATTCATGTCGGTCTCTTGCACGTCAATGCCGGTCGAATACCATCCCAAGATGTCGTAAGATGGAAAGACTTTCTTGTACTGCTCGTGCTTCGTGTTCAAAAACTCTCGATCGAGGGTAAGCCCCTCCTCTGTCTCCAAGTATTTCAACTCGAAAGAATTGAAAATCTCGACATTTCGCCCCGATTGAACCCCGAGTAAACAACCTATTACACGTGGCGGCTTCGCCGTCGACAACGATCCATACAACTGCGCTTTTCGCCTTGTGTAATGATCCGACACGTTCACTATCACCAGCGGATGCAGCTTAAACGAAAGCCCACTCGCCGACGACATCTCTCTCTCTCTNTCTCTCTCTCTCTCTCTCTCTCTCTCTCTCTCTCTCTCTCTCTCTCTCTCTCTCTCTCTCTGTGTGTGTGTATGTGTGTGTGTGTGTGTGTGCGTGTGTGTGCACTTGTGATGTGAAAGAAGACGCGGGCGTATGTCTTCGTGACTGAGTCTTCGTGTTCTTCGACTGCTTCCAGTCGCAATTTGGTCAGATTCTTTGTAGGGCTACTTCCTTCACTCGCCAGGTGCCGAAGACTTTTGACTCGAAATGCAATGGCACGTTTTTGACTCAGCCACTGCCCTGAGAGACCCACTGAGTAGATCGACAGGCAACCACTGAGGAGATCGACAACTTTGGAGACCGGGCGAAGACCATAGCGACTCGATTCCGGCGTTGGCTTCGCCGTTTAGCAGTGTTCCTTTCAAGCACACACCATGGCCCAGCAGTGTTCCTTTCAAGCACACACCATGGCCCAGCAGTGTTCCTTTCAAGCACACCATCGCCCAACGCTGTACTGACTGCAGCAGGTACCGACTCTAGCAACGACGAATGCCGGTTTGGGCGGACTGGTTTGCTCGCGCGGTAAGCCCATGGAAAATCTGCGAAACTCGACAGAAACGAAATCGCGCGCTGCAGCCTGCCTTCGGAAGAAAGATGGCGAGACAGGGTACGGCTTGCGAAATACCCCCATTAGTTGACGTCTATGCCAAAATGCCCCTGAAAGATGTGGTTGGAGCGGAATGCTTTCTTGGGCCCAGATTTCTGTGTTATGCCCCTGTCCGGCGAGTGTCAATTTGCAAACTGCACCTCGCCGTTTCGGCTTTGGCCTTTTGCAATCGGGTCTTGGAAAAGTTGGCCAGTACCGGGGCATTTTGCAAAGTTGGATGATACCCAGTAGGGCTATATCACAAGAATGGGGAGTCCAACCAGCACAAGGGGTATTTCACTTTTTTTCTTTGTCAGAGGGGCATTCCGCTCTACCCACATCTTTCAGGGGCATTTTGGCATACCTCTCGACTTCTGGGGGTGGAGCCACCGGTGCTACCATAGCACCAATGGGGCCTGACGCTAATTGGTATTCTTTAGGCCCTGAACCGGTCCTAAGCCATGGTGCGGCCGTACTGATTTGTTGCAGTATAAAGCCTTTTATTGACGCCCAAGGGTGGGCATTCTCCTAGCAAACAACCACGGGATCACATAGCGCTCAATAGACATCCTAGAGTTTGGTCAGTCTTCGAGGACGTTTTGAAGGAGACTACCGGCCACGCAAAACAAGAAGAAAAAAAATGACCTCGTTTCATTTTTACAAGGTCACATGAGTTTTGATGTTAGGAAAAAAGTCGCGAGGAGTCAGGTTGTTGTCAAAATGAAGAAGAAATTGTGTCCTGAGGAAAGAGTTGGCGCTCGCTTGCAGCACCTCCATTTTCGTGGTCCTCGCAGCTGCCCACGAACTGCCCGCTAATGCAATTGAGTCTGGGAGGTGTGTCCAAAGGCGTTGGGAGCTGCAATTGTCTTTTTTTGCTTCTTGATGTCCATGAGGCCAGGTAAGAACTCGTCACACAGCAAGTCGTGTGCGCCGTGTGTCAAAGCCGCAAAAAATGGGGGGGGGAAACAGACTTGCATCCTCACAAGTCATCGTAAAAAAATAAAAGACTTTTGTTTTGTTTTCCACCCCGTGTGGCAATGCCCTAATCCTTGGGACGAAAGCAAGGTTTTTTTTTTTTTTCATTTTTTATGACCTCCCATTCACCATATGTTTGTGTCTTTGTGTAAATACCCTTTTAAAGATGTTGCCCAGGCATAGCACCAATCTAGCATATGTAACTGATACCCATTTGGTTTTCCTTCATAACTTCATAGCCTATTTTTTTCATTTGTCGCTTTATGGTTGTACCCGTTTCAGACCTACGATTTTGGGAATGAATATCTTATTGGTATACCAAACTATTGGTTGTCACAAATTACTCACACACCTTTCACCATTGGCACAACCCCCCCCTCTCTCCCTCTCCCTTTGTCTCTGCATACTTACACACACATACAGGTGGAGCTTGGTGGGAATGTCATACCCCCTTCCCTTTTTTTTGTATAAAAGAGAGAGGGAAAAACAGTAAGACAAAGAGAGAAACAACAAAGATCATTGTGGTCAAACAATTACTGGGTATTATAGTAATTTATATTGTGGAGTACTTCGGCATGTCGACGATTTTCCCAGTTCATTGTTATCCTGGTAATGTTCATAATTTTTCCTAGGTGTATTCATACATTTTACAAAGCAGGTAGACAGAGGTGATAAGTAACCTTTGGAACTTTATTTTACAACCTATCAAGTTGTCTGATTTAGACTTGTATTTCTTTATATATTATTGTTAACTAGGTTTCCAAAAGATTATTTGTTATACTACTATGTTATTTCTATTTTTTTTTAATAACTCAGATTCAATGCTTTAGATTCTCGTGTTACGAATTTGGAAAAAAAAAAATCCTCTATCATCATCTTTGTCCATTTTTTTTATATTCTAATTGTATAGTTTCCACTAATAAGGTTTCAATTGTCGATTATTGCATTAGTCACTCTCCTATGTTAAATATGATTATCAACTCCATTAAAGCAATAATGTATCTTTATAAACGTGCTTTAAATTTTATTTTATTTCTTTGAAATTTCAATTATGGATTTTGTTTCCCCCCCCCATAAATCCTGAATTTTAGTTTGCGTATTTTGTTTAATTTTCATCAATATATATATATATATATATATATATATATATATATATATATATATATATATTTGTGCGTTTTCAAAATTGATATCGCATCTTCAGATTCACTTCCATAAAGTTTCATTTTTGAAAAGAACGAGTGTCTTATATTTGAATTTTGTGAGTTTGATTCATGTCGTTGCGACTGCTCGAGCGAGGGAGAAGTGTCCGTTTTTTTATGTGTCAACAACACTTAAAATACTTAAAATGTTTTTTTTTTTTACCAACACTTATGTGGGGTTTAATTTAATTTCTAATCATCGGTAAAATGAAATCAATAGCTCAATCTTGGCTCAACCGTTCGTAGCCTATAAGTGTATATTGATCATATAGGTAGGGCATCTCAACAACCGATTCTTATAAAACCTTCTGTCGGGAGACCCACAACGTACCTATATGCTCAGGGGTTCGCCGGAGTAAGTTATCGGTGCGTCATATAGAAATAACACTTTCGTTCCAGTGTTATCATTTTTTTTTTTGCCTCACCTATTTTAAAAAATTCATCACAAAACAGGTTCACAATTTGATCACAATATCACCGTCACTCTCCTCTCACTATTTTCACACAATATCCCACAAAATGATCATGTCTACATAACCCCCCTTTACTGTCTCAACCCTCAATCTTCAACCGCTATTTGTCCTTTAAAAAAAACAACACTTGTAACTTGGTTAAACTTACAATAAAACCAACCAAAGGTTTTCTCATGCTTCGTGCACCGTGTTTGGCGGAGTGTGAGAAACATATTTTTCATCGCAATCAACAATTCGAACTACTAAGAATGCTGAAAATTCAATTATACCTAAATGTTATGCGCTTACTGTACTGCCTACCGTACCATTACCTTCATCTTACGAGGCTTCGCCCAATAGGCATACCAAGAAGAGATCTCTAATTGTGTCCCAATTTGAGGCCCCCACCATCTCGTCATCACCATGACTTTTGCAGTTTTGACGTGGATGACCACTCCATGCAACAAGAGTCAAAGGTTTGGGTTTCCTACAATGTCCTACTTTGAAAGCCTCATTGATAAAAGTCGTATTCTTATCAATGTTATAATTCCACCATTCGATGTGGTTCCGATAACATATGTTTGGACAGTCTCCTCCTTCATGCAGTAAAGACCTAAAACTTAAGTTTTCCACGGTGCCGTATTCAAATCCACCATCCTGGGAGCATTCAAATGATTCATCCACTACCCCTTCATATTACAGATTTTGAGAGTTTGTATCTATGCAACTTCTCGTCCCCTTCAAATGAGTCTTCTGCCTTAGCAGACTATCAAAGAAGCAGGAGGTAGCAAAGAAATAAAATGTGATCATCATGGGGTATTGTTGCTATGTTTTCTAAAAAAAATATTATTTCGTAATGAGGTACTCTTGAGATTTTGTGTCTTCTCTCAAATTTCGTTAATAAGGAGAACCACCACATTGCCTTAACCGCTTGCCTTGTGACCATTGCATAGGGTCTTTTGTGATTCATAAGCACTTCGTATCTTCTGGTCCATATTCTCAAATACAACGCGGCGTGGGCTATCTATGCAACATACTTTACGTCTATAATGAGGTTGTTGGTTCCCCCCTATGTCATTTTGGTCGTTGGTCACAACATAAATGATTTATATGAGATTTGTTCCCTTCCAAAAGACGACCACTTCCTTATCTCATAATATACATAGTCGAAAGAAACTTACACATTTTAAGAACAAGTATGATATTATTTCCTCAGCTTGATAATATACTATGCACATCGAGTCATTTTGACAAAGATTTTGTGAAAAAACATTATGCAATAGACACTGCTAAATAGAGAATGGGTCAAGGAAGTCCTACTTATTTATGATATGGGAGTAAATTATTAAGTTTGGCATGCTATTGTATAACTTTCGATGTTCAACTGTCGAAGGGCGAAAAGGAAAAATGACATCTCTTAGTCCATCTAGGTTTAAGTTTCTTCATAATGTTAACTGAATTCGCAAGATGTTGATATATTATTTTAGTTGTCGCTAATACTTTGTCGTATAAAATTTTAAAAACTTTTGGATAGAATTAAACCCAGCTACTAAGGCATATTCAAACCTAGTTTATTATCAATTTTAATTATTTTACACTTATCTTGGTACAACCTTTTCGTTTATTGCTCGTTTTATTTCACACTTATCTTGGTATCTAGACCTTAGGACCTAAATATTTTTTTATATCCTCATAAGTATTCCATTACTAAGATCCCGAGTCGACCAAGAAGTTTTTGACCACGTGAGCGGTAGACTGTTGAAAGAACAAAGTAATATATAGTATGTCGTTGATACATTTTATCTTTTATTTACCATGTATCTCTTTGTGACTCTAACGCTGCTGGATTGGTGACTGATTAAAACGTAGCAAATAGTTTTTTCTCATAACAAACTTTGTTTATCATGTTATATTATGTTTTGTAATTTCAATTATCATGCAGTGTATGTATCTCGATTTAAACCACAGGTCCCCCCGCCACCGAAAACCCGCGGAGGACCTCTAGTGCGAGGTCGCTGTTTTTTGGTCGAACGACCGGTAGTACAGCGTGGAAAACCGGACGGGCGTCCAAACGGAATTTGCGTCAAAAATTGGAAGTAAACCGAATCGGCGCGTCGAATATTTCACTGTCAAAATGATTTTTTTTTTTCCTGATATTTTCCCGTGAAAGATCACGACCTAATCTACGGACCCTCAAATTTTCAAACATTTTCATGATTTCTTCTAAGCACGA